AGTTCCTCATGTTGTGGTGACCCACAACCATAAAATTATTTCATTGCTACTTCATAACTGTAATTTTGCTACTGTTACAAATCATAATGTAAATATCTGAGATGCAGGATATCTGATATTTGACCCCCCAAAGGGGTTGTGACCCACAGATTGAGAATCACTGGTTCAGAGTATTCTGTGAGAAAGCCTTGATTGAGAGATTGCCTAGAAATGGTCTGCGGTCATATCTGGAGTATTGCTTGATTATTAATTGGTATAGGAGGGCCCAGCAAGTGATCCTGAGCCCGTGACCAAGTCAGAGCGGCAGCCATCAAGCAGCATTTTTTCATGGTTTCTGCTTCGAGTTCCCGCCCTGCCTGACTTACCTTAATGACAGATTGTGGCCTGCAAATGTAAGTCAAATAAGCCTTTTCCTCACTGAACTGCTTGCCGTCAGAGCATTTTATCACAGCGACCAAATGAAACTAGAACAGCCCGTGACTTGTTCATGTGGTTTGTTAAACACATGTTCCTAAGGGCAATTGGCAAGAGAATAAGGGAAGTGGCACGAGACAGGAAAGCCAAGTTAAGGGAGTCATGCCAGATGAACCACAGAAGGCAGCTTCGCTCCAACTCCTCAGAGACACCCTGAAGGGAAAGCTCTGCCTCAGAGCTGAGGCAAGGCACCTCCAGCTCTACGGCTTAAGGGCAGCACCTCAGTGTTCAGTCCCTGAAGTCTCAAGCCAGTGTCCCAGGAAAGTTTTTCAAAAAGGAGACCTGGAAACAAAATGTAGAAAACTATTCAAGGAGATACAGGAAGCATTCCTTGTTCCACATGTCCTCACTCTGTAATTCGAATGACATGCAAGTCAGGGGGTCACAGCTGGGTAGACTCAAAGAATTATGGGGGAGGCACATAGATGGAGAGATGGCTCAGCAGTTAATGGCACCAGCGACTCTTCAGGAGGACTCAGATTTGATTCCCAGTATTTCCCTGTCGTCTCACAACCATCTGGAACTCCAATCCCAGGGGCTCTGACTGTGCCTTCTGGCCTCCTCAGACATTGGGAATGCATGTAGTGCACAGGCATACATGTAGGCGATATGCATAAAAAATAAATGGAATTTTGATCCATGCCAAAGAGGAGGCATAAGATGTCATAAGAACTAGAGGTGGTGGACGACTCCAAGGAAGCAGTGTTTTCCAAACACAGCATGACGGATGGACCTGTGAACTCACAGACTGTGACATCATACCTAACACCTGCACAAGTTTAAGCTAGGCAAAACCCCAGCACAGAGGAGGGGAAATGAGCACAATGTCCCATCCCTTGCCAAGAAGCTGCTTGTTATTGATAGTTGCTGAGAGAAGGGAAAATCAGTTTTCTCCAATGCAGAGTCACTGGGTTTATCAACTATCCTCCAGCGTAGACCCCATGCTCAGATGTATTCCATGGGTTTTTGTATTTTTATTTTAGTTTAGTTTTTCTAAGAGAAAAAGGAAGCATGAAGTTGGGTAGATAGTGGAGTTAGAGGATCTAGAAGGAGTTGAGGGAGGGCTAAGAATACATTCAAAAAGTGCAGAACAACGTAAATACCACTGTGGTGCTATGTGATATTCTGATAGATGTATGCACCATTAAATGTTCAAAGCAAAAAAAAAAAGTGATGGATGTCTTTGCTGCTGTGTCATTTTAAACACGTGCTGCACTTAGGATGTACTTTGTTTCAAGGGAAGAAAATGCAAATCACAGTGGATTTCGTGAATAGAAGTCGAGCCACATTCCATAGGCTCAGGAGTAGTTCAACTTTCCCCCATCAGTTTATCTGGGCTCAGCTTCTCTGACTAGTTCTCCAGATATTCTATTCTGTTCTGATTTGGACTTTGGTTTGGCCTCCATATGACTGCAATATGTATGAAAATGACATAATGATATCAATTACTTTGTATGCCAACATTATTTGTGCCTATGTATTATCTCTATCTTGGCAGCTAGCTAGATTATATACATGAGTATATATCTGCAGTTCTTAGAAGAAACGAGAGTTTCTTTTCCCAACTACAGAACACAGAACTGAAACTCATTCCAACAGAATTTCTCCTTGCTAACTCCTGACACAGGGCTTTATCAGTTGGGTTAAATCAAGGAAGACTAATTTGGAGAGGTGAAATCATATGTTCGACAACAAACACGAGGAAATGCTAAATATCCACCAGCATAAGGCAAAGTGGAAATAGGCTAAACATTCATAAATAGGGTATTTAGTTCTTATTTTGTGTGTGTGTATGAATGTTTTGCCTCTGTACATATATACACCATGTGTGTGAAGTACATGTAGGGGCCAGAAGAGGGCATCATATCTGCTGGAACTGGAGCTACTAGCAGCTGTGAGCTGCTCTGTGGGTGCTGAGAACTGGACCCCAGTCCTCTGCAAGAGCAGCAAGTGCTCATAATCACTGAGGGATCTCTCCAACCCAGAGTGTTTGTTTTATGTCACAGTATAATCACTCATTAGAACAGCATGTGTCCTCTGAAACACATAGTGTGAAGGATGTTCCTAATGCACTTTATGTGCAAACAATAGATTATGAAACTTAGCAGGCCGTATACACCAACTCATTAGCATCTGAAATCCCTTCCCAGCGGCCTTGTGTTTGACTTTTGTGGGGTTAATGCTAAACTTTCTTGCGCTTATTCACATCTTCTAAAAAGTACATAATAAATGTACTGCAGGTTAAGTACCTTATCCAAAATACTTAGAACCAGATGGTTGCATTTTGTTTGTTTGGGGATTTGAGCATGTTTGCATACATACTGTGCTAGTCGGTTTCACTCTTGCTGTGACAGAATCCTTGATGTGAACAACTTAAGGGAGGATTTATTCAAGTTGCAGATCATTTTCAACCCATCATGGGGGCAGTACAAGACTAGCAGTCTAAGCCATGCTGCCTGGGAAGATGAGAAGGGCAGACAGGGGGTGGAACAATAACTAGCCCTAAACAGCTTCTCCCTAGTAACCTATGTCTTCCAGCTAAGCCCTACCCCGTTTCCAGAAACTTCCAAAGTAGTACCACCAGCAAGGGATCAAGCCTTATTACACTAAGTCTCTTCAGTGGAGGTGGGGGCACACTATAAAGACAAACATGACTAACAAAACATCTCGTGGATAGGACTATTGTCTAATCATGAAACTTCCTGTGTGTTTCATACATACTTTGTGCACATAGCCTAAATACGATTTTGTGTGTTATCTTTAGGGTGCCTGCATTTTGGTGAGCTATGGGTTTTTGTTGGTGGTGGTTTTTGTTTGTTTGTTTGGTTGGTTGGTTAGGTTTTGGGGGTTTTTTGGTTTTGTTTTTCTGTTTTATTTTGTTTTGCTGTTTTGGGTTTTTTTTGTTGTTGTTGTTGTTTTCTTGTTTGTTTGCTTGCTTTTGGACAGACCAGCAACACAGGAGTTACCCAGGCTCTGCAGACGGTGGCCCGGTGACATCTTAGAAGGAAATCTGTTGTTTAAAGTTGAAATATTCTGGGAACCTCAAGTCAACCTGCCATTGCTCTAGAATTAGGTAACCTTGGGAGGTAGGGGTGCGCTGTAGGAATTCCTACACCCAGTAGCCTTTACGTTACCTGCCCACTTGGCCATGGCCTCTTATACTATTTATGCCAATGTTAAGCGTGCATCTGGCCTCTTTTCCAGCTGAGGGATTTGGTTGTTGTTCTCCGTTCCAGCAAAGGAAATTGATTTGTGAGTCTACCTCTAAATAAATAACCCTTTATTATTCTCAATTCTGAGCTAGTGTAGGATTTCTTTTAAGCATCCATTCAGGGGTGGAGAACAGAAAGGACAGAGGCCAGCAAATTGCAAAGCGCAGATAGCAGGAGGACCCAAGCAGGCACGGGATTTTATAAGAATAGGATCCTAACCCTCAGCACCCTGTTGTAGAACTTGCCAACAGAGAATCAACCCTGTGATAACCCAGAGCTTGCAGGTGGGCTGAAAGAGCAACCTCTGGAGCCAGTTGTTTGCATGAGGCTTTCTGCTCTAGAGTCCAGGAACTCTGAAGCTTCATGGAACCACTTATCATCCACAGCCATATCCACTTAGCATGATAGTTACTGTTGAGTACATTTCCAAAAGTACCAAGATGGGTCAGCCTGTATAAACCTCATTATCATGGTCACTTGCCCCACCCCCACCTTGCGAGAACATTAGCCACCCACAGGGGATACAAGTCGGGAAGTTATCGTAAGGGTAGGAAAACCTACCCAGCCTCTATTAGTCAGGGTTCTCTAGAGTCACAGAACTGATGGCTGAGGATGACAGTGAACTCTTGATCTCCTGCCTCTACTTCTTGAGAGTTGGGACTACAGACACTACCATATTCAATGTATAGCGGTGCTGGGGATCAAACCCTAGCTGTCACAAATGCTTGGTAAGCTCTCTACCAACAGAACCACACCCCACCCCAGGACTTTTGTGGGACTCTTGTCTTTGAAATGTTTTATGCTAGTGCTCTATCAAACACATGTCTGAGGTCTGTCCAAGCTCTTTTCACTTTAACTTTCCTCCTTGATGCACCATGGTCCTTTGCTTGCTCCACATGACTTTTAGGCAATGGTCTGTGTGACAGCTGTTCTTGGTTGACAGCTTGACTTTATCTAGAGTAAACTAGAATCCAGAGACACTTGTGATCTGGATATTGAAGCTGGAAGACATAAATTTATATTATATATATATATGTGTGTGTGTGTGTGTGTGTGTGTGTGTGTGTGTGTGTGTGTGTGTATTATGTAATATATATCCGTCTCTGTCTCTCTCTTCTCTCTCCTCTTTCTCCTCCTCTTCCTCCTCCTTCTCCTCCAAGTTTACTCTTTGCTTCTATCATAGTTTCAGTGACATTCTGACTTCATCTTACTAGGGTTTTCACACCTTTTTCCCTTACACTTATCAAAAGTGCTAAAATAATGGCAGCCTTGGAAAAAAGATTTCACTGTTTATCAATAAAAATGATCACTTACCTCAAGGAAAATTCAAATGAGCAGGTGAATCCCATCCTGAACCTGAAAGAGAAAAGCAGTGATATTAAGGAAAAAGTCAGCAAAAGAAAAAACTAGCAACATTCAAGAAAAGTTCGTCAAGGAAACTGAATCTTGAGACAAAAAAAAATGAAATAGAAAGGCTGGAGATGAAAATTTCAGCTAATTAAATGAAAAAACACAATGGGAATCCAGCAGACTCACAAAAGAAAGGACATCAGAGTAAAAGAATGCTGTATTCAGACAACAACCAGGAGAATAGCCACGTGTCCAAGAATCCTGGGATATGGCCAAGAGACCAAGCCCAAGCATTCGCAGGTTGAGAAGCTCAGCATGAACACACAGCAGAAATTCCTCAAACCATAGAAACAACCCAACCTCAGACACAGGAAGCAAATGAAACCCCCTGCAAAAATGAACAGAAAAGAACATCTCTGTGGCACATTATAGTCAACTTGTCAAAATACAAAGCAAAGAGCCAGGCATGGTGGAGCACACCTTTAATCCTAGGACTTGGACACAGAGGTAGGTGGATTTCTGTAAGTCTGAGGCCAGCATGGCCTCAAACTCTACATAAAGAGGAACTTGAACTTCCCACAGGGCAGGAAACCCTGACTGCTCTTAGGAGAGGGAGGAGGAGAGGGAGTGGGGGGAGTGGGAGGGTGTTGGGAGGAGGGGCGGAAATGGAAACTTTTATAATTTAATAAACTTTGAAAAAAAAAAAGAGTTCCAGGACAGACAAAGCTACATACCAAACCTTATCCAAAAAAAGAAAGAAAGAAGGGCTAGAGAGATGGCTCAGCAGTTAAGAGCACTGACTGCTCTTCCAAAGGACCGGGGTTCAATTCCCAGCACCCACATGGCAGCTCACAACTGTCTGTGATTCCCGTTCCAGAGGATCTGACATCCTCATACAGAATATATATAGGCAAAATACAAGTGCACATTAAATAAATAAATAAATAAATCTTTACAAAGAAAGAAAGACTAAAGAAAGAAAGAGAAAAGAAAAAGAATAAAAAGGGTGTAACTGAGTGGTTTACTTCTGGGTCCTGTCTTATATCCCAGTGTTTTGCATGTCTGTCTGGGGGCTAGTGCCATGCTGTTTTCTGTACTATAGCTCTTTAACATGACTTGAGGTCAGGTAGTATGTGTCATTGGGGTTTTCATGAGGATTGTGTTGACTCTGTAGCCATTTTCTTTTCTTCGTTTTTTTTTTTTCCTGCCAGCTTGGGATCACAGGAGTTGTCCTGACTATTTAGGGTTCAGCCACTTCCTTCAAGTTTTCTCTGAAGAGGCCCATTTCACCTTCCTAGCTTGGTTTATTCCTGGATTGTCTGTGGGGTTTGTTTATTTTGTTTTGTTTTTTTGAACAAATGTGAAAGCAATCAGTAGAAAAGCATTCTTATCATACTTGTTATTGTTTTATAGAAAAGCTACTAGTTTTGTATATTGAATTTTATATCCTGCTACTTGATAGAAGTGGATACCAGGTCTAGAATTTTTCTGGTGGCTTTTTCAAGGGTCTTTTGAGTTTAGGATCATGATCTACAATTAGAAATAGCTTGATGTCTCTCTTTCCCATTTATATCCCTTTCATTTCTCTTGTCTTATTGTCTACTAAGACAACAAATACCATAGCAATTAAGGGTAGAAAATTTTCATTATCTTTACCTCATTCTGGATTTTAGAGTGAATAGTTTCAGGTTTACCCCATGGCATAATGCTGCCTATAGATTTTTCAGGTACAGACTTGAGTATACTGAAGCTTGTTCCTTCTATTTCTAACCTCCTCAGGTATTTTTCACGAAAGGATATGGACCCTGGTCAAAAGCCTTTTCTGAAATCAAGATAAATACGTGGTTTCTGCCCCAAGTGTGTTTATGTGCTATATTCCACTTGCTGATAAGCATATGCTGAGACAAATTTGCATCCCTGGAATGAAATCAACATGTCACACTGTGTAATTTCTTAATGTGTTCTTGAATTTGGTCTGTGAGTGTTGTATTTTGCATTTGTGTTCCTCTGGGATGTTGTTCTATTAGCTGTGTCTGAGCATGTCCAGGACCAGCTGCAGTATAAGAAATACTGGCTTTCTAGCAAGAGCTTGTTGGTTCTCCTCCCCTGTTTATTTTGTAGGATGCTTTGAAAAGAGTTGGTGTTGGATCTTTTTTTAATCTCTCTATATAGATTTTATTTATTTTATCCAGTTTATCTTGCAAATAGAAAGCACGATAGAGGAGAGAGTTCAATGGTTAAAAACACTGGCTGCTCTTTCAGAGGTCTCTAGTTCAATTCCCAGCACCCACATAATGATTCACAGCTTCTTGTAATTCCAATCCCTGGGTAACCCTTTTCTAGCTTCCCTATTCAATGCGTGCACTTGGTACAGACACATGATGTCACTATACTCATACACAGAAAATAAAAATAAAAATTCCCTAATAATGATAAAAAACTTTGATGCATGTACATTTTATGTATATAATGCTTTGCTGTGCTCTAACAAATTCAACTGGAAAAAATAAAAATAAATACACCACATCTTAGTATTTCCAAAGTTTGATCCCTCTGGAATATTGTCTATAAAAGCACTTATTATGGTTCAAAACTATGGGCATGCTTTATAATTTAAGAAACTGTTTTCTGGGTTTTTGTTTTGTTTTATTTTTTAGGAGATTTTAATGTAGCCACTGTGTATATGATGTGGGAGAATTGTCTGTATTCTGTCAATCATGTTTTAAATAAACGCTGATTGGCCAGGCAGGAGGTGTAGGTGGGAAAACCAGACAGGAAGTGAAAATGATGCAAGGAGAGCAGGAGAATTCTGGGAAGGAGGAAGTTGATTCCTCCCACTCCTGCCCAGATCACCGAAGCAGCAGGATGTGAGCTGCCCCACTAAAAAGGTACTGAGCCACATGGCTAACATAGATCAGAAAAATGGGTTAATCAAGATGTGAGAGTTAGCCAGTAGGAAGCTAGAGCTAATGGGCCAATCAGCTTTATAACTTACAGAGATTTCAGTGTGATTTTTCTCTGGGACTAAACAGCTGGGGGGCCAGGCAGGACAGAAAAACCCCCAACAAACAGGCCCCCTCATATTACATGTTTATGCTATAAAATGATTCCAAACTTCTTAGTAGCCCACCAATACTTATGTTACCTTTTATTTAAAAAAAAAAAAAACTAGAGCAAACAAAGGAGCCTGTCAAGATGGCTGAGCAAGTGAAAGCACTTGCCACCAAATCTGACAACCGTGAGCTCCATCTGTGGATCCTGCATGGTGGAAGGAGATAACTGAGTCCTCAGAGTTGATCTCTGACCTCCATATATATGCCTTGACACACATACACTCACACAAATAAGTAAATAGGTAAACATTTTAAAGCATAAGTATAAAGATCAGAATGGAACCTATCAGTAGTAACTCCTTGCCCACCCTCCATGCACAGGCATGCCTGTAGTTCCTTGCATTTCCTAAGCACCCTAGCACACACAATAGCAGCACTTATTCCAATGTGGTGATATCTTATTTGTACAAATAAAGCTTGCCTGAAGATCAGAGGGTGGAGCTAGCGTTGATCATAGAGATCTGGAGGTCTGTACAGATAGACAGGAAGTGATATGACTGAACAGAGAGAGGAAGTGATAAGGTGAGAAGAGAAAGAAACTTGGTTTCTTTTCAGCTGGGAAGTTGAGTAGGTAAGGTGACTGTGGTTTACTATATTTGACTCTGAACATTTATTATTAAGACCTATTAGAACTCATGCTACATGTTGGTGCCTAACATGGGGCACAAATTCTCAAAAAAAAAAAAAAGCCTATGGCTTTGCAGCCTCTGGCATAGGCTGAAATTGCATGCAAGGCTCCCACCAGAGTTGCACACGTGGCTCCCACTGGAATAGCTACCCAGCTGGTTAGGTTCTGCTCTATTTTTCCCTAAGCCTCTAAGCAAGTTTGGTTTTATTTTTTATTTATTTATTTATTTATTTATTTGCTGTTGTCATTGCAGCCTCTGCAACAAACGCTACAGGCACATTGGCTCCAAACACCATAGGACTTACCTGCTCTAGACCAGCTGGCTCTGCCTTGGGCAATCCCCACTACACATGCTTCTTCTGCACAGCACAATTCCGTGTGCATTTTTTTCAGACATCCAGCTCCCTCACTTCCTCTCTCCACTCACTGGCTGCTTTTCTTCTCTGATCCATTTCCTGTGCAGATTCCTCCTACCCATTAGGCCTAGTCCAAATGATGCCTCTCCAATAAGACCCACAGAAAACTCAGCTCACTGCTGTCTGTCTTGTGCCCGTCCACTCTTCTTTCATCACATGCTTCACGTGAAGATATTTTGTAAGTACCTATAGGTGCTTAGTCCTTCACCTGCAGAACACAGCCACATCTGAGACACTTAGACAGTCTTTTCCCTGCATAGCCAGTGTGATATTCATCGCATTCAGTGGAGCTAGAGTTCCACTGAAAGGCTGGATAAGCATTGTAAATAATGAAGGACTGGAAAGAGAACAGCAAAAGCGGTAACTCAAAGATTAGAGTCCAGCATCCTCAATATAAGTGGCAATCAATCTTAATTGCGGTAAACCCAGCCCCAATGACCTGATTAGTCAATGTAGGAACCTATAAATAAATAATCTGAAGCGATCCATCACTTCTACAGGGGGGTCAGAAGGTTACAGCCTTGGGTTTTTAAAGAGATCTACTAACTCACTCTGCAGATCGGCGTGTACTGCAGAAAGCAGCTCAAAGGTCAGGCTGAGGCTGAATTTCCTTGTAGGGAGACTTGTGTGGAAACAAGGGCTCTGATGCTGTAGTAATATTGATTTTCTAGAACACTCAGTTTCAGTAGTACTAGCTTTTGTCCATTAAGCAGCCTCTACGGCTGGGCATGTCAGACAAAAATTCTGAGAATCTGACATTAACACACTTTCATTGAAAAGTTTCAAATCCAATTTAGTTGTGTTATTGGGCAAGAATCAAACACTGGAAAGGCTGGATAGCCAACCATAAAGGAATAAAAAACACCCACCCAGCCAGCAGACTCTCACGTTGCCTTTCTTCCCCTTCCTCTCTGCATAACAGGCTGCCTAGGTCAAAATCCATACCCTCAGTACAAGCCAATCTGCATAATGTTATCTCCGTCCACATACCTGAGGCAATCGCTCTTTCATTATGGGGGGAAGTGAGTTTATGGCATCCTCTAGATATAAGTATGGGTTTAAATTAGTCCTTTAAAGAAAGCAGAACATTTGCTTCATAACTAAGAAGAAAATCCCTGTTCCCAAAGTCAGAGCTAGAAACTAACTTGTGTATGCTCCACCCTACCCCCAACCACAAGGTCACACGTGAAAGTCTAACTCTCCACATAATAGTATTGTTTGGAACCGGAGACAGCTAATTTTCGATGAGGTCATCAGAGTGGAGCCCAAAGGATAACATTTATATCTTTACATAAAAGGACATCAAGGTGCTTAGCCTCCCCCTTTTTCTCTTCCCCACACACACCTCCCTCCTTCCTACTATGCACAGGTAT